GGCGGGAAAAAAAAATCTATAAACAAAGGTTATTCAATAAACAAGCTTTAGGTTTTGAGGTTCCACCTGAATAATTAGAAGGATTTGTTTTATCAATTTGTATGGAGACATGCACATTTACCAGATGGTGTTAGCACAAACAACGTACACTTGCGAAAACATCAGAGCTTAAATGACCACTACCCTTCATATAAAAGGTAAATTAAGAAGGAACTCTTCAGTTTGTAAACACAACGCTGTTTTCTTTCCCTTGTTCTTTTGCAATTAGTCACTTCTTGTCAATTGAACAGCTCAAAAAGATTTACAAAAATAACTAGGTCGCAGCGTCAGAAAGAAGGGATTAGAGGTACTCGAGGAGATGCTTTTGCTGATCTGAACATCAGAGCATTACTGCCAGTGTAGGAAGATGTCGGGTGTACTCGATTCAGAAAGTCTCAAATACTTACTATTTGGAAGAAAAAAATACTTACTATTGTTTCACCGCATTTTCTCGATGCCAAAATTGACTGCTAGACTGGTTCAGTGAGACCATCAATTTTTGATGTCTATAATGAGATTAGTCTCTTTCTTGAGGAGAGTAGGCCGCCCTCCTTTAAAATTCTATTTCCAGTGTAGGTAGCTACTTTTTTTATAATTCAAATCAATCTTATTAATTATACAAGCCAGTGCTGATATACAACACGAGAGTACACCAAAAACAAGAAAGCCTAACTAGTTGTATGAACTATTTTATAGTTGTCGAAACATACAATATACAGAAAGGAAAAACCAGTCCGGACTTCCTCCAGAAGTAACAAAAAGTAACTCCTAACCCTCTTCGAAATATCCTTAAGCTCCCTTACCCCTCTTCCAGTTTAGACAGTTAGTTATGCACTAGCTTTTAAATCTAACAAGCATGATAATGAAAAAATGAAAACTAGGGGATAATAAGCTTAAATCGTATACACTTACCTCCTCATGAACTTTGGTCATCTCCCGAGCCATGACACACTGCCTACATGGAAGCATAAAATGTAAAATAATAACATGTTAAGATAAAAGAACTGTAAAAGTGGAACTTCAAATTCTCCTTCCCTCATTCTCTTTTTATCTTTTCGTGAGAAGGGGGAAAGGGGGAGCTGGATGGCGAATGTTTTTACACCTCCTTCCCAACCCATGCTGAGGTTCCTCTGCCAACTTAAAGTAGAAAATTTTAGCAAAGAAAGTATTACGACTAGAATAAATTTCTGAAGTTGATGAAAGAGGAACGAAACAATGCAAACCCTGAATCACATGCCATGCAGCCAATCAGGATATGATGAGGATATTAAAATGTAAGTGTCCGTTCCTATTTACTAGAAAGAGTGTCACGGACACCCTCGGATTCGCGCATACCATAGTTGATTATGAAACTGAACCATAGATATTTACCTACTCTCCCCAAATATAGAAGCAGCCTCTTCAAGAAATTGAGAAAGCCTGTGAGGTGGAATGAAGAAAATCTGTGTGGCTGATTCATTTGCTGAAAGTATCAGCTTCTCTTTCCTCGAAGAATTATGCTTTGGAAGAAAACCAACTGCATAATGAGAAAATATGTGAATCAGTTTTACAAGTATTTCACTAAATATTCTTGAAATTTCTAGTAACTAAAACACACAGTATATCAGAGCATTACCAAATGTGAACTCATTAGTAGGTAAGCCAGAGGCCGAAAGAGCAGTTACCACAGCAGACGGCCCAGGAATCGGAACAACAAGTACATTCTTATCCACGCACAGCTTAGCCTACATTTACAAAATATGTCATGTGCATTTCTATCAAATACACAAGATTTGGGACATGAAGCCTGGAAACCTCATTACTGCTCTTTCCTCAAATATATAGAGAATGTTCAAGACAAACTACTTCACATGGTATATCACAATATCAGGTCCAATGGTACACAAACAACTAACTATATTTCCCCTAAGAAATAGCCTATAGAAACGGATATTCAATACAATCTGACGAAAGGAACGAAAAATCCACAAGATTACCGACAAGGATATACTTGCTCACCAGTTCCATTCCAGGATCACTGATGCCTGGTGTGCCAGCGTCACTGATCAGGGCGACAATTTCACCATCTTGTAGTTTCCTCAGCACCAATTGTGCTCTTTGAGATTCATTGAACTTGTGATAACTAAGCTGAAACCTAAAGCTTATTGTTAGAGACAAACGAGCATTCTAACTGAAGCACCATGCATAACCCAAAAGTGACTTACAAGAGGAGTTTTAATGTTGTAATAGTGTAGCAATTTTCCCGAATGCCTTGTATCTTCAGAAAGAATCACATCTGCCGATTTCAAGACTCGCAAAGCCCTGAAAGCATCAGGGAATTCACCAAAAAGGCAGAGAATTTAGAAAAAAGAAACAATCTTGATATCAGTATTCAAGGTTAGAGCTTCAAAATACCAACAACCAATTCATTCTTAAGCAGAGACTTTATCGATATATTTCAAATTGTTCAACTATAATATCCATGATCTTGTATGTAAAACATATAAAGAACCTCTAATGTTAGAGAACTCATATTAGAATGAAACTAGGTCCAATTGAACAAAACCTGAGGATTCATATAGGGGACCTCGACTAGCTTGGGATTGAGACATAATAGTAGTTGATGCATAACATCAATGAAACTTTATAGGTGGAATGCCATTCATCTGCTTTGTAACGTTAGGTTTGAACTTAGTGTGTGCGCGTGTGTTTACTCAGCTATAATGCATAGTGCACGTCAAAGGCCAATACAAAAGAGGAGTAAGTAAAGTATGCAAGTGATTTTATTACCTGAGAGTAATATCTTCAAGATTGCCAATTGGGGTTCCAACTAGATATAGACCTGGTTTCAAAGGGCCCTAAAAACAAAAGGGAAATATAATTAATTCACACCGGCACCACCCTGAAAGTTTTAGAAAAAATAAAGATTCTTTTTTCTGAAATAAAGGGCAGCTTGGTGCACTAGCTGTCCCGGAATCCGGGAAAGGGCCGGACCACATATGCTACGTATGTAGCCTTACACTACATTTCTGCAAGAGGGTGTTTCCACCGCTCAAACTTGTGACCTCCTGGTCCCATGGCAGCAGCTTTACCCTATGCGCGAGGTCTGGGGAAGGGCCGGACACAAAGGTCTATTGTACGCAGGCTTACGATGCAGAAATACCCTACATTTCTGCAAGCTACGGCTCGAACCCGTGACCTCCTGGTCATATGGCAGCAACTTTACCGCTATGTGCAGATTGGGGAAGCGCCGGATTACAAAGTGTATCCTACGCAGCCTTATCCTGCATATGTGCAAGCCACGAATCCGTGACCTCCTGATGACATGGCAGCAACTTTAGCGCTTACAGTTACGCCAAGGCTCCCCTTCTCTTTTTTATTAAATAAAGAAGACAAAAGTTAGCTACTTTACTTGCTTAGAATTTGATAGGTGATGCTGCAGTTCATCAGGGGCATCAGTAGTGGAGCTTTCTGCACTGTTAGTAGAGTAGAATAAAGGGGTGAGAGTTGTTGGGACACTGGATATGGTGGTACAAAGAAGTGAAGGTGGGAAGTGGGGTCGCAAAAATTGAGTGAATAATGGAAGAGGACATCTCCTAAACTGCCGGTGAACTGGGCTGAAGACGGCGGAGGAAGAGGAGGATAAAATAGACATGGGATTATAACGCCGTATCAGCATTCTTGATTCTGGTGTTCAACAATTCAGAGCCCTTTTGCAGCGCAATCCTCAAATTACTGAGTTGAAAATTTCAGGGGTTTCTATTATTAGAAATTTAAGAATCTGACTGCAATTCGAATAAAGTGTTTGTGTTTGTGATAAATCGCGAAGAAATGCTAAGCTTTCAAGGTTTTTTAGTGAATTGTGACGGCTTTTTTGCCTTCAATTTTTGGCCAAAATTATCAGTTTTTACCGAGTATCCTAACTCTAGATAAGAATTTGGTTCATAATTTAATCCATAGTAGTATGTCTATTTTTACTCATCTGTTCAATGAAATGCGGAAAAAAAAATTGTTCTCGAGAAATTTATAAACTATTTACGTGAAGAATTGGCACAAAGGAAGAAGGAAGCTTGACGTAACTAGTAAAGTTGTTACCACGTGACCAAAAGGTTACGGGTTTGAATCGTGAAAACAATCTCTTGCATAAATGCAGGATAAGGCTGGTTAAGATAGGGCCTTTATGGTTGGGGCCTTCAGAGATACTGCTCTTTTTTTTTTTTTAGTTGACATAATCTAAAATAGAACAGATAAACTAAAAGTCTAAAACTATTAGTAAATAACAGAAATCTATGTTTCTGCCAATTTGGAACATTAACCCTCGGATGTGCCTTTAATTAGGAAGGTAAGTTTAAACAAAATTGCTTTTCATAGTTGGTCCTTTTTCATTTTTCAAGGAGTGGGGAGAGGGATCTTAGAACTGCCCTCAAATTATTAAGACCATATATATCACAATCATAGTTTTTAATCTAAGTAATCTCTTGTGTTTAGGATTTGTGACCGTTTGGAACTGAGACACAAGGGATAATTAATTAAATTTCAAATGAGTTTATCACACGTTTGGTTGGGATAAAATCGTGGTATAACTTAACCTGAAATTAGTTATACTGGAATTGTAGTATTGTTTTTATTCCTATGGGATGGTGTGATAACAATTCCGAAATATTAATCCTACGATAACTTGTTTCTCAACCAAATGACCCTAAAGAGTTTCAAATTTCAAGTGTTAAGCTTTTGGGTCAACACCTAAAGATGATGAATATTGGCTGCAGAGAATCAAGTACTGGAAATGTAGTAAAACTCTTAACCCCAACTAATAACCAAGCAAATCAAGTTAGATTACATGGTACATCTCATAAGATGGATGAAAGGGTCAGCAGTTTAAGGCCACACCCATTATAACATAAAACATAATTTTCCAACCTATGCTTCTGCCTCATATTTAACCAGAAGCACTAAAACTGCTATACAAGTAGAGGCTGTCTTATAGCAGCTTTCATATATTGCTCAGCCCAATCAATGTAAGCTGGCAAATTCAGAATGTCAGTTTTTTTTTTTCTTCTAGTACTTGTTTTTATAAAACCAATTTCTCTTGCTTTTTGGGAAGGAAGAGAAGAACTTTTCAGTTGGCACGAGAGTTGGAGTTGCTTGTGTTGCAGTCGTATGCAGCTTGGTTAACTACACCTTATCGTCGTGGAACCACCATCTCGTCTCCTTGGGAGACCTGCCATTTTTGCAGTTCTTCACATAGCGGTCATTGTCTGCAGGACGTTGCTGTTTAAACAGGCAAGTGTAAATTTGAGGCCTCAATCTCAAAAGGTTAAAAGTTCAAGAACAAATAAAGAGATGACAAATGTAAAATTCAAATGAAGTTTAAATGCTAACAGACCTTCTCAGTTGAGCTAGACAACATTGAGAGAATGCTGATGCAGATGGAACTAACAGTCATAGCGGGGGACCATGAATCATACAAAATGTCTGCAACCAAACCAGCAACACAAACAGTCAATGCTGAATCACAAATGTTAAGATCTTTTTTTTGTTTTTGTTTTGTGGTGAGCACAACCAAAATTATCTGCTGCTGCATAACAAAAAATGTCATATAAGTAAGATGTCACCATATAATGCATAAGACTATTAGCTGGAGAAGGAGGTATGTGCAACAAATTATGCCATTCTCCTGCTAATGACTGTTCTAGATGACGACTACAACAACATACCCAGTATACTCCCACAAGTGGGGTCTAGGGAGGGTAGTGTGTATGCAGACCTTACCCCTACCTTGTGCAGGTAGATACATTTCCACAACTGCTACTAAGTACTAACTACCAAAAGCTATTAAAGCAACTTTGTTTTACAGATACATTTATTTGAATTTTTGAAACAGTAAGTCGGTCAAAAAAAAAAAAATCGGGAAGCTAGTAATTTTCATCTTGTGCAACGGGATACATAATACTCTTGGATAATATGTTGATGAAATTTCATTATGTTTTCAAATGTGTTTGTGTTCTCTCGATCATCTCTTCTTTCTTTTTCTCTTTTTTTCTTTCTCACTTAGCAAATAGGACGAACAGCTAACTGACAAGAAGATCAAAACATGGTTCAGTTGCTGTTCAGGAAGTAAATCTGTGTTTATATGAGAAGTCTCAGGTTAAACTTGTGGGCTGTGGTCCCGAAACCAAAGGGCTAAACATTCCGGAGGAGCCAATATATATGCTGATGACTAAAGTCTACGCCTCACCAACATATACAACAAGACTTGACAATTTTCAGTATCTCAAACATGTGATCAAAATAATGATACAATTCTCATTGCAGGTGCTACATTCCCTAGTCTTTGCAAAATCAATACTCTGCAGCACCCGACACCTCATCCAAAAGGAGCACAATACAGAGGTGACTCTGACTACCTAAATAACATGGCAGTATCAGAATAAGAGTAAACCAGCTATACTAGTGACCATTAACTAGACTACTCCTAGCCCCTAATAATTACCACCACAGCACACACACACCCTCCAAAATAAAGAAACCAAGTGGACAGAAGGAAGAAAAATATTAAAAATGAGAAGTGAACAAATAGTTGTCTCAGCAGGGCCCAATCAAATGATGGATGCACAACCACACAATACAACAGTTTCTAATCTTAAGCTAAATGATGCCAATAGGTACTAGGATGATATAGACATGGAACAGGGAATACAAGCATCCATCAGCTCCTAAGCATGCTAAAACAGAAGGGTTACTGGAACAACTAATGAACCCTAGGATTACCTTTTTAATCCCGTAAAGAAAATTTTACCTAAAAATAATCTTGATATGTAGTTTAAGAGGATTTTTCCATGGAAAACGAATATAACAGGAAAACAAGAAAAAGAGAAGATCAGATGTTCCTGCTGCTATCTTTTGGAGTATCTGGAAGGAAAGGAATAGCAGATGTTTTGATGGACTATCAATTACTTTCCAATCTCTCAAAGCTAATTGTATTATGTTTTTATACATTGGGTTTATTTATCCCCCATAGATTCCCCTGATAGTTATTTGAATTTTGCTAGCTCCTTAGTATTAGCCTGAACATCTGTATTGGAGCTGACATTATTCCTTTTTGCTATATCTCTTTTGTAACTATTATGCATCTTCTTGATGCCAGCAATGAAATTAATTACTTCATCAAAAAAAAAAAAAAAAAAAAAAAAAAAAAAGAGAAGATCAGTTCTAGAATAATCCTAAAGTCAGAACTATAATATAATATGTAATACGAAATAATGGACAGAAATCATTAGCCTACTAGGCTAAGATGTAGTAGTAGTTTAGGCCTATTTGCTTTAAGTTCAAAATTACCAAGTTCAGATTAAGAAGGTTAATATCAAAATAGCAGGCAAGTTCTTTCAAGCAACCATTTTTGTATGAATCAATGACATCTTCGGTACTCTGACAATGTTCTAGAGATTAAGTTAGAAGTTGCTGCTAAATAAGATATAATCATGGTGCAGAGCACTAATGCGATCAAGTGGTATCATCTGCATTCATCTGTTTTCTTTCACAAGTAGATTTGACCAAGAGATTCACTTTTAAGCTTCAAAGTGCCAAATAAAAATAGATGTTAACAATAATAGACTCCTTTGTTGTTAATTTACATGATTTCAACAGACACATATCTCTACCTTCACAAGGTAGGGGTAAGGCATACGTACACACTACCCTCCCCAAACCCCACTTGTGGGATTAAACTGGGTTTGTTATTGTTGTTGTTTATTTCAACAGACACATACAAACGAAAGAATGCCAACAAGTCCAAGGAGCTAAATAAAAAATGCCACCATGTCTAGACTAGATTTCTCTTGTGTAGCAACACAAGAGTCTTGTGTAGCAACACAAGAGAAAAGAGAACCATAATCAAGGATGCAACAGCCACAACAACAAGACAGTTGGCGCAATTGCAATCCAATTGTCGTACAAATTCATGATACCATAGGAAAACGCTCATTCTGACAAAATAGGGGGAAATGCTTCTCAATCATCTCATGCTGTGAAATTATAGGCTATATGTTGTTTTCTCTTACGTGTACTGCGATTTCAAGTGTTGCACTGATTACTTATCACTTTTGCATATAGGAAGCCAATTAAGACCAAGTGAGCAGATAAATGCTTTGCATAGGATGGGAAGAGTGGAAGACAAACCTAAACAGATATGTCCATTGCTATAAATGTGAGGATGTAATGGTGCTGGAGGGATAAAAACAACCTGCCAAGTAGAAAATAAAATGCTACAGTAAAAATCAAATATACTATAGAAAGAGGAAAGTAATAGGAGTATAAAATAAGCAACAGAATGCTTTGCATTTCGAGACATAAAATGGTAGAGAGATTAGACTCCAAGTTGAAGTATTTAAAGCAGTTAAACCCAAGCTGATAGAATAAGAAAGTTAACACATGTATAATATAATGTACTTCCATTAGTTAATAGTAAATCAATTGAGAAAATTCTGAAGGGCTTACTTTATAGATCAATGTATACTTCACCATAAGGAAAGCCTAGGCTTTTCTTACAAGTATTTTTTTGTTAACAAGGGAACCTGCAGCCGCTAATCCTTCGGGTGCGCACAAGGTAAACCCTGCACTTGTGAAATTGCCCGCAAACCACACAGGACGATAAACCGCACTAGGCAACCTCATGCGACGGGCTCGACCGAGGTATGCAAGTGGGTTTCAAACCCTAGACCTACCATTTGGGAAATCCCCTGCTCAACCAACTCGGCCACCCCGAAGGGTTAACATTTCTTACTAGTACTAACTGATCATTGCCTACTGGCAGGGCCGGCTCTATAAGTGTATGGAGTAAGGCAAGTGCCTTAGGCCCCCAATTTTGGGAGGCCCCATTTTTTAGGAATACTATATATTTTATAGGTTTATAGGTTTTTCTTTTTTTAAAAATAAATAATATATATAGTACTTTTTTACTTTTCATATATAAAAAAAGAATAACTTTTAATATATTAATAAAGTAAAGCTTAAAATAGTACTAAAAATTAGTTGTCACTTGGATTTGATTTGACAACTCTACTTTTTGCTCTTCTTCCCAAATAATTCTAAGACCCAATCCAACATTTCAATTTCATTTCATTCTTCATATTCCATATAGGAGAATGAGACATAGTGACATACCTTCTTCCTTCCTTTTTATTCATCCTCATCTTCTTTCTACTATATTTCTTTCTTTCTCCAAGACTCCAACAAGCCAATAACTAGATATTTTGGAATCAAAGTCTTCAAACTTCTTGAATCAGTTAGTCGGGTAGCGTCATTCTAACTTTCTAGTATTATTTTAATTTGTTATTTATTATTTTATTAATTTTACTATGTACATATTGTTTAATTTTTTTTAGAATATAAACATGTCTACAAGAAAATATGCATCCGGATATTCAAAAATCCAAAAGAAAAGAAAAGTTGAAAATTTAATAAAATCTCAAAAAGGAGCTTTTGAGAATTTTTTGTCAAATAATGAAAAAACTAAATCGCAAAATGTAGGAGAATAATCTGTAGATGAACAAGTCACTAACTTTGAGTCAAATGCTCATAACAAAATCCAAATTGAAGAGGTTTTTATGAGAAATCTGACGAAGATACAAACACTTTGGCCTTAGGCCCCATATTAAACTTTGGCCTTAGGCCCCATATGAGCTTGAGCCGCCCCTGCCTACTGGTTATGTCTTCACTTAAACCAATATTTAGTCCTTAAGGAATTCACAATTTCTTCTCTTACTGATCATGTTAATCCATAAACTGATATAAAACAGAGCAAGAGAAAGCTTAATTATAACAAAAATTAAACAAAATATAAAAAAGGAGAGAAACTCACTTGTGGGGCTTCCATAGGATAATGCTCAGGAAAATCAACCTGAAGCTGATACATCTCATTTGCATACAAAGTCCCTGCTGCCCCGTTGACTTCAATTATCCATCTACCACCCCCAACAAAAGACATAAATTGCAAACATTCACGAAAAATACCAATAAAGATTAAATCTTTTTCTATTTCCACCCTTAATACATGAAAACTAAACAAATTTATAAACCCCCCACCCACCCCCCCAAAAAAAAGAGCTCTTTACCTTTGAAGATTATCAGTAACTTTGTGTTTAAATCCAGCAGGAGGATTAACTTGCCATTCTACAAGCTCTTTCTGCAACCGATTGCAAGCGATCTTGCTCAGAGCCTACTACATTCCAACTCAATCAACAACCCCATTTGCCAAAAAATTCAAAAAAAAACAAACTAAATTTTGTTCATATAAGCCACAAAAATTCAACAATATTTTACATATAGACACAAAAACAAACCTTGCGAGAAGAAGCAGAAGGGTTAGTCATGGCTTTGACGAAGTGGGGTGGTTGAGTTCTTACAGGAAGAGAAAAAGATAGTGCGAGAAAACAACTGTCTGCGTAGAGTGGACGTCGGTGTTTACCTTTATTAATTTATTGGGGGTCTAAAATGTAACATGATGAGAAATTTACGGGCTGTTTTATAATTTGATAAGGGAATTGGATAATGTTGTAAATTCATAAAGAAGTAGATTTTGTTCAGAAACTGATCAATTGGGACAGCGGTTTTTTGTGATGAGATGGATGATCACGTGCGGTTTCAAAGTGCAGGTAGACACGTGGCGAATGTTCTCGGCAGTTCACGTGACATAAAGTACACGTCGGATTTTGACAAAACTTTATTCATTCATTGGACGATTAAAGGTTTTTTATCGCATTAGATTCGGTTTAGATTTGACGTTTTTGTTTGATTCCAGATATTTCACATTTATCTTTTATTATGTCATGGAAAAAACCTAGTACTACATTTTGTAGCCTTCCGTTTTTCTGTAACTTAAAAGACCCAAAAGCTCCGTAGAGTTAATTCCTTTCCATTTTCTCTTTTGTGACGAAAACGCGAATATTTCTCTACTCCAATGTTGTATCGACAAACGATTTAATGCGTTGAAAATTAAACTTGTAGAATTAATTTGGCTGGTAGATCACCCCGTAAAATCAAGTATATTGGTAGGGTAGAAAATAGTTCAATAAAATAGAAAAATAGAGGATTTCTATCATCAAGAATTATGGTCGGTAGAATAAAGTACGTGTGATGACCCGATAGGTCATCTAGAGTTTTAGAGCCTAATTCTGATATTGTGAGTTGCTCGACGCCTGAGGGCAAAATCTAGCAATGTGCTTCGGATCACCATGAGTATAACAAGACCTCGGCTGCTGTGACTGCTGACCCCGAAACTGACCCTGTCGACCTGAGTAACCACCCTGAAAGCTCTGGAGCGGAGGCACACTAATAGGAGCTGGTGGTGCACTTTATGCTAGCTGGTCGGAATAAGACATATGAGGGCCACGACCACCTGAAGCATTGTGGGAGATGCTATTGTTATAGATCGTGTTTATCATTCGTGTGTGGTTACCATTGGGAGTCTTGAGACTAGTGTAGATCTTCTACTTCTCGATATGGTAGATTTTGATGTTATCTTGGGTAGGGATTGGCTGTCACCTTATCATGCGATATTGGATTCTCACGCCAAGACGGTGACCTTAGCCTTGCCGGGGTTGCCACCATTAGAATGGAGGAGGACTCCTAGCCATTCTATCAGTAGGGTTATCTCTTATATGAATGCTCAGCATATGGTCGAGAAGGGTGTCTAGCTTATTTTGGCTTATGTCCGCGATTCTAGTGCGGAGGTTCCTTCCACGAATTCAGTACCAGTTGTTCGTGAGTTTCCAGAGGTATTTCCTGCAGACCTGTCGGGAATGCCACCCGACAGTGATATGAATTCTGTATTGATTTGGCTCCGGGCACTCAGCCTATTTCTTTTCCGCCATATCGTATGGCCCCGCTAGAGTTAAAAGAACTGAAGGAGCAGTTACAAGATTTGCTTGATAAGGGCTTCACTAAACCTAGTGTCTCCCCCTGGGGTGCCCGTGTTGTTAGTGAAGAAAAAAGATGGATCGATGAGGATGTGCATAGACTACCGGTAGTTGAACAAAGTCACTGTTGATACCCAATTTTTCCCTCATATATTTTTAAAAAATGCATATATACTTTCAAAATAGTGCATGAGCATCAACCAGTATTTTTCCATAATTTTCTGTAATTTTAAAAGGATTTCAATTAATTTATTCCAGCATTTTATTATCTAAATAATTACCAATTGCATCACAAATAATTTTACAATGATTTATTGCTTAATTTTTATCATTTACTTTTATATTGAGCTTTAATCGTTTTATGCATAATTTTATTTGTATCTTTAGGCTATAATTGCAATAACTTTGCAATAATAGCCCATATATGCATAATTACATTATTTACACTTTATCTTTTTATAATATTAAGTAATTATTTTAAATTATTTTCACATACAAATAGCATTTTTATCATTTATTAATTACTTTTATAAATCATTTAATTAATTTAAGTGGGTATTTAAAATATAGCCCTTTCTAATTAAATTTTCGGACCTCCCAACCCAATACTAGCCAGCCCAATTGTCCTAGCCCATAACCCAATACTCAAACCCAACTACCATACCCAAACCCAAGTACCTATACCCGCCCTGCCTAAATCTAATCTTGGCCGTTGATCTCAGAAGATCAACGACCCTAAATCAATCGCCCTTTTAATGTACCAAACCCCAAACCCTACCCTCATTTCCCCCCAACCCGCCGCCTTTGGATCTCTTCTCTCCTCTCTTCTCTCTCACCCCCCTCAAACCCTAGCCCCGCCGTCGCAAATCCCCTCTTGATTCATGGGATTTTCCTTCGGTTTCATGCTTTATCTGGCCTCACCTCTCTATTGGTTATACGATTTCTATGTTGCTTGATGTGAATCTCAAGAGACTCGAGCCAAATCTGGTTCAAAGTCTCTCATTTCTCGATGGTTCCGTCTATGTTCACTCCGATACCTGTGAGTACGAGTATTTTCGTATTTTTGGAATTTCAAATCTCTGGTTCAAACCATATTTGATTCGCTTCTGTCTATTTTCATGAACCTAGCTATTTTCTGGTTGAATCCGTTTAGATCTCTTTAGATCTGGAGCGATTTTGTGTTTGTTTGGTATTTCTCCCTTAAAAATTTTCTATTTTTACTATTATTATTGACCGATTCATTTACCCTAAAAGCTAGGGTTTTGATTTCTGATGGATTTCTGCAAAAAAAAGGTTTTAGCGTTTAAATGTTTTCATCTCTGATTTTCTTATTTACTTTTTCGACTGATTTTTACTTGATTTAATCAAGCTCCATCTATATGTCTTTTTATTTCTTAGAGTTTCGATTATTTGACTATTTATTCTACTGTCTTTTGCCCGTTTACCTTTAATGCTGTCAATTAAGTGTTAATTAATTCTACTTACCTAAATTAGTGTTGGGAATCAACTTTCCTTTTAGTACCAGTATTGCCTCATTAAGATTTTACATGTTCTTACCTTATTTATGTGATTAATTATCCGTACTACTACTTTGATTTTGTGTTCTGACTCCTAATTGATTTTGGAATTAGTTCTTACCTTATTTAACCTTATTAATTACCGATTGATTCTGTGTGAGATTTTCCTTAAATTAAGTGATACTTACTCGATTCTGTCCTGTTAATTGATTCATGTTGACCTTAATTGATTGTTAATTTATTTTCATACCTTATTTGTGTGTGATTGGTTCATTACCTTATTTGTTTTACTCTATTGTATGCTATAAAAACCCTTCCCTTGTTCTGATTTTGAACACGTTTTACAACCTTTCAACTGAACCACTTTACCATTCTTGAACTCTCTGTTCTCACAAAACCTTAAGCTCTCTCTTTACTCCCTTGTTCTGATTTCTGCACCAAGTGGCTCTTATTTGGCCGGCTAAAGGCCAAGGCCAAATTCTCTGGATTTTAACTGCTATTGCATTCCTGTTTGCTTTCTTCTCAACTGGTATGCCATAACTCCTACTATTCTGTTCTCCGTACTTTATTTGATTAATCTGTTTCAATCTTCAGCATGATTCTATTTTCCATATGACTGTATGATTCCACTTAGTGATAATACTAAACTAAGCTATCTCCAATAATGTGAAACCCTGTCCAATTCAGCTGTATGTTCTCTGTTCTGACTACTGTTAGATACTGCAAGCATGTAATGTGTGGCTAATTCCGTATGTTAGTTCAAGTATCCTTGCTTTTGTGATTACTTTAACTGCTGGTATGAGTATTGATGGGTTTTCAATGTCTTGGCCTTATGCTTCTGATTTTTTGAAGATCTAACAAACATGTTGTGAAGAACCAGACAGAGAACCTGATCCACATTTCAACTGTACTGGTCCAAATCTGAAAATCAGCAAATGGATGAACAACCACAGGGAGGAACACAACAGGGACCTGGTAACCTGGTCCCTTAGGGTTCTCTGACACAAGTACAAGTCAGTGACTGTATGCAATCAATATAAAGAGAAACACAACAGGGACCTGTTCCCTTAGGGTTCTCTGACAGAAATACAAGTCAAATGCAGAGCTGGAACGTAGCAAAAGAAAGTGACCATCTAGCAACTGTCACAGAAGAGAAACACAACTAGGACCTGGTTTGTTGGTGTGTCCTGACAAGAAGTACAGAGTCCACTATCCAGCTGGAACGCAACTGCCCAGAAGTGGCTGTGCAGACAGTGCAACAGTCACTTCTCATTGGGAAGAAGCGTACACCAAGAGTTGACATCACTACCCATTGTGTTATCATTTGTGATAAAACAACCTGGTGCAAGACACACCATTCTTCGTGCATTCATTGATATTCTCTCAAGCAACAACAATATTCATCCGGCATTGAAGTCACTGGTATGTCAAGAACAAGAAGACAACTCCACTAAGGATCAGTTTCTTAATGAGTTTGTGTACATCCGTAATTGAGTTGTAATCTTGTTATTTGTTCGTCATTGTAATTCCTAGTTTGCTTTCTTAGAAGCGTTGTAGGAACAACCAAAATTCGTAAACTTCTGAGTTTATGTTATGACTAGGGATAGTCATAAGTTTAAAGCCTTTGTAACTAGGATAGTTATAGAGTGGCTTGTGGTGGGTGCATCACAAGTTAGTTGAAGTCTTTGCAATAGGATTTTGCAAAGTGGCTTGTAATAAGGTTTTTACAAGTTAGTGAAGTCTTTGCAATAGGATTTTGCAAAGTGGCTTGTAATAGGGAGATTGCAAGTTAGTGGAGTTAAAAGCCTGCAAGAGTAGGTCGTGGTTTTTTGATCCCCTTGTGTGGGATTTTTCCATGTAAAAATCTCTTGCCTTCTTTACTTTCAGTCTTTACAACATTCTAAGCATCATCTCATAGAGGACAGATACTCTATAGTTTGGTGGACTCATATAAACTAACAATTGGTATCAGAGCAGGTTTCTCCTATCAGGCTTACACCTAGGAAGGATCCTCAATGGCTGCTCCACC